ACTCCCCCGCCCGGGAGGGCGCGCACGTGCGGGCCCGCCGAGGCTGGCCGCTAGGCCGGGGCCGCGCAGAGCGGAGCGGAGCGCCGGGCGCGGGCGGCGCGGGCCGGCCGGATCTGCACCTGCAGCGCCCCTCCCCGGCTCCCGGCCCCGGGCGCCGCTCTCCCCGCGGGCTGGCCCGTCCCTGCCCTCCGGCGGCCGCGGCCCGAGCTGGAGGGGCGGGGCGCGGAGCTCCCAGCTAGGCCCTCGGCCCAGCCGCCCGGGTGTCCCCACTTCCTGCCACTCCCTGCGTGCCCGGGACTGCCCCACGCTCGCCCGGCAGCCCCGAGCCCGACCGACCCCTTCTCCTCCTCGGCCGCCCGTCTCCAGGCCGAGGCAGGACAATAGGGGACGCCCGCGTTGGCGCACCGGGGCGGCCTGACCGGCAGGAAGGGGGGTCCCCGAAGGCAGAGAACGAGCGCCCGCTGCATGGCATCCGCGTGCGGGTCACAGCCAAGTGCCCTGCCCCAGCCGACCCCAGGGCCCTGCCGTCGCCAGCCTCCCGGGCGCGACGCTCGGGCTAATAGCATCCAAAACAAAGACGAATCGAGACCCCCGCCCTGCCTCCCAGAAGAGAGGGAAGGGGCACGTCACGGAGAGGAACCTAGGCAGGTTCGGGATGGGCTCTGTCAGTCTCCGAGGGCCCAAGTCACCCCCGAGGCCTAAAGGTCGCAGACACTTTGAAAAAAGTCACCCTGGGTTGTGTTCCAGGCAGGGGGTAAGGGACGAGACAAAATGTTTCTCATTTGCCAAGCTGTCCATTTCTTCGCGTCGCTTCTCCTCCTCCCCTCACCTGTTGTTACTGGCCAAGTTGAAATTCCAGGTTAGATTAATTCAACTCCACCCATCTGATCTGCGTGCCAGGCTAGTGCCCACAGCTGCTTTCCACCTACCCGGGTTGCTGTGGAGAAAGGTAAGTCTGTACCCTCCCTACACATGGGCAAGTCCTGGCAGAAACAGCCATGGGTGGACTAGCCTGACCAGTTTGGGCGGTGCTCAGGCGTCCTCTCAGGCTAAAGCTAACAACTCATCCAGAACTGGAAAAAGAGCATTCGGCAGACTGTGCGTGCCTGCGTGTGTGTGTGTGTGTGCGCGTGTGTGTGTGTGTGTGTGTGGTGTGTGTGTGTGTGTGTGGTGTGTGTGAGGGTGTGTACGGTGCGTGTTTAACTGATCTCACACAGCGATCGCTGTCCAGAAAGCCCCGGGCAGTTAAGTTGAAGCAGCGGGAGTTGCATGGGACTTCCCTCTGGCACGCCTGTATTTGACGACCTGTTCCACCGGCCAGCTTGGCAGCTGCGGGTGGGTGGGTGTGAACCCGGCTGCAACACCTATTTCCTACCATCGCCTTCGCAAGTACCCAAAAGCTTCTGACCAGGGAAGAGTAGAATGTACAATATGCAGAAGCTGTGGACTTGGGGCACACGGACAACAAAAACAGGTGAACGATTAAAATGTTTCGTGTCTCTTAAGTGGTTCCACACGTGATAATGCAATTTGCCTTCCTCCTTTAGTTTGCCTTTTCGATAAACGGGCTGGATACCGGGCGGAGAAAATAGCTTAGGCATCTTCAGCTGGGTACACACCATCTCTAAGAGAATCCAAATACAGTTCTTAATATGGGGTTCACTGAGTAACAAAAGACTCATTGTTACCCACTGAGCAACGCTGTGAATTAAGCATTCTCCGTTACTACCTTGTGGATTCAAAAGCAGTGCCCAGCACCTTCTGATTTGCCTAGGTAACGGGCGGCAACAGTTAACCGGTTTATTCTGCACCCTTCAGGTAACTGGTTTAGGTAACCTGAGGGAATGCTGGTGTGTGTTGTCTGCCGGGAAAGAATTCGGGGATGCCTGCGGCCAACCGTGGAGAGGAGCAGAGGCAGCCTGGCTGCCCAGTTTGTAAGCAGACCTCAGATGTGGGGGAGCTCAGGGGTGGGGAGGTGAGAGCAAAGAGATGGCAGAATGAGCCTGGGGGCACATCAGCTCAAGGGCAACCAAGCCTGGTGAGGCAGGAGAGCTACCCGGCAAGCCTGCCTCTTCACTTTTCTCTCTGGAACTTTAAATCCCATTTGTTTTGTTGCTTCATCCCTACTACCCTGTTTCAAGAATTCCTTCCCTGGGGAGAAATAAAAGTTTAGGCCCTCCTCCTAAGGTCCCAACAACAAACCAAAGCACAGACAGTTACACCAAGGTTTATCCCAGAAGCCCATGAGTGTATTGGACTGACTTACAGAAGTTGTCGAGGAGTTACTGGCAGGAACATAAATGACCCCAAAGGAGCAGCTGCTCTTCACCGACAGTCACATGAAGGGAGACCGCTTCTGTCGATTTTATCAGCCTATAGACTCTAGCACCTCCCTTTTGCAATTAGGGCAAAACTAACAAACAGCTGGGAGGAGGGCTTAAGCTCAGGTGAGGGGCCAATAACCCCCCACCCAACTTTTATGAGGAATGTCAGCAGTCCACAGCTGGATCTTGATGGCCCCTTCCAAGCAGGCGCGGCTCATCTACTACAAATGAGTTCAACAACAGACCCCTTCCATCTTCTCGAAACCCTTTAGGTCTGCGCATAAATGCCCATTCTTCTGAGAAGGTTCTAGTAACTCAGATGTCAGGGTTCCTCCCACCCTTCACCCCATCCCCACCCCCGCCCAGAGAACAGTAATCAGTGTTATAACTATTTGCAGCTTCCTTTCTTGTCACCAGACCAGCTCTGAAGGGCCAGGACCACACTGTTCTTTCTCCGTTGTCACCTCTGATGACCTGGCACCCGATCAGCATATGCTGGAGAAAGGAGAGACAGATCAATAGTGCCAACCAATGACATATCCCAGAAACACTAACGGCGCATAGACTTCCAAGTTTCTTCTCCAACTAGTGTCCAAACTGCCCAAATCCTTCAGGGGTGCCTCAAATGGGATCCAAGATGCTCAGTTCTGTGCCTTGGGCTTTCCAGGCTTCTGGACTGTGGCTTTGTTCCCACCATGCTCAGGCCAGATGAGCAGCTGAGGAAAGCCATGAGTTCTGCTCCTGGATAGCAGCCGTCGGAGCTGCAGCAGCCCTGTCTCTGGGAACATTGAGAAGCTATGCTCCAGTTCACCCTAACGTACTTCATCAGAAACACTTCCGGTCTGGCCCAGCAATCTTTTAACAAACACTTTCACTTGTCAGTTTCTTTTAAAATATGTATTCACTTATTATGTGTTTTTCTATGTGGGCACACACATGCCGTAAGTGTACGTGTGGAGGTCAGAGGACAACTTTGTGAGAGTCCATTCTCTGCTTCTACCTTGTGAGTTCTGAGCATTGAACTCAGGACATCAGGCTTAATGGCTTGCTGTCGGCAAGTCTCGGGAAGCTCTGGGTTTGAGCAAGCAGCTAGGAAGAAAGTTTAGCAGAGGGCGGGCCTGGCCCTGAGGCACTTAGAGAGTGTCAGGCCCGCCCTTTGTGAGCTGGCCGGGCTGGCCCCTCGAGCGAGAACGGAGTCCTGTTGGCAAGTGTGCTCCAGAGGAGGGTCAGACCTGCTGCAGCTGCCATGCAGGCTGGACCAGGACAGGAATGCCACTTGCCAAGCGAAAGCGCTGTAAGGCCCTGGAGGGTGACAGGGTGACTTCTGGGTGTGGGCCGAAGCTCCGCTGGTGAAGTGAAGCCGACAGGACCAAGCGGAAGAGACAAGCAGCATCACCGGATGACGGTGAGTCCCCAACTTCCACATGTGCGCCCTGGCGTGGGTGCCCCAATAAAATAAGACCGTAAAGACTGAAAAGAAACGACAGGGAACTGCCCAGCCTGCAAGCGCTTAATGTGATCAGCCTCGGAAGAGGCCCTCCTTATGTGGCGAGTCTGGCTGATTTGGTGAATGCGGTTTTTAGTGCAGGCCCTGGGCTTGCTTGGGTTTCTCCTACTTTCTTAAATGTTGATTCTGAGACTTGAACTGAGATCCCCAGGCTTGCATGTCAAGCGCCTGGTTGGGGGGGCTGTGTTTGGTCACGTATTTGGTTTTGGGGGTGTGTTTTTTGTTTTTGTTTTCTTCTGAAAGATTTGGTTTTATGAGTATTTTTTCTACATATACGTATGTGCACTGTGTGTGTGCCTGCTGTCCAAGGTGACCCCCGGAGCTGGCGTTACAGAACACTGGGAGTCACCACGTGCTGCTGGGAATCCAACCTGGTCCTCTACAAGAGCAGCATGTGTCCTAGCTACTGAGCCATCTTCCCAGTCCTTGGTCATGTATTTGTTAAAACAACAAAACTATAATCAGCTGGCATCTGCATGGAGTTTCCCCACTTGGAGCACCTCCACACACATTGTTCTGTGTGTAGAGTGGGTCAGACAGAAATGTTACTTTCCTTTTTGAATGGCATGGTACTTTTTATTGTTTTAAAGATAAAGTTTCTGGGGCTTGAAGGAGTCGTTTGATTACTGAGTAGCAGGAACTGTTCTACAGTCCAAGTCCTGCTTATCACAGGAGGGCTAACATAACACCAACAACGACTTTTGGAAAGAGGTGGATTCACTGGTTGGTTTTATGGAGCATGGGATGTGTGTGAGCTCACTGGTGGGGTTTATGGGGTCATGGTGTGTGTGAGGTTCTAGACTATGCTTGTGGCCTATGGATTTAATGTTCAAAGATAATTTTAACATATTTACTCATTGCAACTGTTTCCATGAATGTATGTGCCTGGTGCTTGAGGAGGCTAGGAGAGGGCATCCGATGTCCCAGAGCTGGGGTTACAGAAGTTGGGGGTCACATTGTGGGTGCTGGGAACCAAACCCAGGTCCTTTGTAGGAGCAGCCAGCACTCTTAATCACTGAGCCATCTACCTAGCTCCTGCCTTTGTGTTTGTTTTGTTTGTTAAGATTTACTTATTACATAGTATTCTGGCTGCATCTGTGCCTGCACACCAGAAGAGGGCATCAGATCACATTAGAGATGGTTGTGAGCCACCATGTGGTTTGGGTGCTGGGAATTGAACTCAGGTCCTCTGGAAGAGCAGCCAGCGCTCTTAACCTCTGAGCCATCTCTCCAGCCCAAGCCTTTGCTCTTCATAACACGTTTTGTGACTACATTTTGAATTTGAGTTGAATAAAATAAGCAAGGAGAATGGCAGAGGTGAAATCACTTGGAAACTGTCGAGGTGGAGGGGTCTGGAAAGGATAGGGGCTCTGCTTGATTCAGGACCAGACTGACAAATGCTTAACATGGGTAAAGGCTTGGGTGTCCCCCAGTTTGACTGCCAAAATCAGTTATGTTGCTAGGAGAAACCAATTCCATGATGCTAAAGTAGTGAACAGTGCTATGATGTCACATGATGAATGCGTGTTGCTTGGGGGAGAAGGTGGCTCTTAGGTCCAGTGCTTGCTGTGCAGCGTGGGACCTGGCTTTGGAGCCCCAGCACCCGTGCGAAAACTTACATACCCATAACCCCAGCACTGGGAGCAACAAAGACAGAACAACAAGCCCAGCCAATCAGTGAGCCTCAAATCAGTGAGACCCTGCCTCAGTACACAAGGTGAAGGAGCTAGAGATGGCTTAGCATTAAGACACTTGCAGTTCTTGAGGTTCTGGCAGAGGACCAGAGTTCAGTTCCCAGCACCCATGCTCGGGCTTCTCCCAACTGCTTGTTTGTTTAATGTGTTTGTTTGTTTGAGACAGGACTCTCTGTGTAGTCCTGGCTGTCCTGGAACTCAGAGATTCCCCTGCCCCTGCATCCTGAGTACTGGGATTAAATGTGTGAGCCACCACCACCTGGCTGCTCACAACTACTAGTAGCTCCAGCTCCAGGATCCAATGCCCTCTTCTGTCCTCCATAGGTACCTGTCCGCACACTCCCTCCCCTGCATGCACATAATTTTTAAAAATTAGTCTTAAAAATAAGTAGAGAGTGATAGAAAAAAAATCTGATGTCAACCTCTAGCCTCCACATAAGCGCGCACGCACGTACACACACAGACACACACACAGACACACACAGACACACACACACACGCAGTATATCCTCTGGGCCAGCGAGATGGCTCCACGGATAAAGGAATGTGCTGTCACACCTTATGATCTGAATTTGAGCCGCAGGTTCCTCATAGAGGAAGGAGAGAACCAACTTTCAAAAGTTACCCTTTGACCTCCACGTGAGTCCCATGGCATGTACACACACACATGTACGTTGCGGGTACACGGTAGTGGGAGCCCTGTTTCCACAGCCTCCAGTAACCCGGGCTACTGCAAGCGAACGTATCTTTCCTTAACCTGGCGCACAGGCCCTTAAAGCTTTGCCTCGAAGCGACTGCCATTGCTTCTGCTTTCATCTCACTGACCAGTGCAGGTCACAGGGAGGGAAGTGCGGTAAGTACACTCTGGCTGTGTGCCTGAGGAGCGGGGACTATGTTGTGGCTGATGGCTCTGGTGGCTGCTGCGCAGGGAAGCTGTGTAGTGATGTGTGAGGATTCATCCTACTCCGCCCCAGGACACTGCTCCCTCCTAGGGGTGCGTAATGGAGATCCCACTCTCATGGACTTTTCTAATTCCTTATTCCTTGTACTAGAACAGCCTCAGAGATTTGGACTGCAGGGAAAGAAAGCTGGGTTAAGGGGAAAGACGGTGGAAGAGGTGAGTGGCCACAGGCAAGCTCAGTAGAAATCGGCCTGTGGACAGAGAATCCAGCAGAGAGAAGGGCTCAGGGTGTATGAGACACCAGAAGCTTGCCTGCTGCAACCTCTAAAACAAGGTTTAGAGGTTTCCTGCCTCTGCCTTGACCTCCCACTCATCCTTTCTGGTTAAGCTCTGGTGACACTTGAGGAAGCCTTTGACAAGTCCTGAGACTAGGTCCAAGCACACCAGTCATCACAGGAGGCCTGCCTGTCTTACCCGCTGTGGGCAGGACACAGCATAGCCTGCTGCTGGCTGCTGCTGCTGGATGGAGGCTGCCCTAGGGTGGGGTGACACGAGGGAAGCAGAGTGATTGGCTCAGAGGCTGTAGCAAAAATCTAGGTGGGGGCAGGGGAGTGTGGAGGAAGGGGTGGAAAGAAAGATGAAAGGTTTAGAGAACAGAGAAAAGTCACAGCACAGAGACCGACTGGACAAACCAAGGGGCCCAGAGGAGGAACAAAGTGCTGAGGCCAGCCTGGATGCGTTTGATTTGAGGCACCTGAGAGACAGGTCCACAGACAGACCCAGGGAGGAGCGGGTACCCATAGGCCACACCTATGCAGGGGGAGCAAACCGGCTGGATCAGGGGCTATGGGCTGCTTCTGGGTAAACATCAAGGCTGAACCCTCCTAACAGGTCTGAATTTTTCTGTTTGGTTTGTTGTTGTTTTTGAGACAGGGTCTCTTGTACCTCAGGCTGACCTTGAATTTGCCATGTAACTGTGGATTACTTTGAACTTTTGATCCACCTACCTCCACCTCCTGCAAGCATTCTGAAAGAAAACTCATTTAAAAAGAAAAAGAAGTGTGTGTGTATGTGCGAGAGTTAGATAGGGAAAAAGTATGCATCACATAAAAATGGTGACATTTGCCAGGCAATGGTGGCATACACCACTGATCCCGGCAGGGGCAGGGGCAGGGGCAGAGGGATCTCTGTGAGTTCAAGGCCAGGGTACAATGATTTTTACACGTGTGTAAAAACAGGCACACGTGTGTCATGGTACATGAGTGGAGGTCAGACAATAAATTTTCAGAGTCCATTCTTTACTTACTTTGTGGGGTTCTGGAGCTCAATTCAAGTTGTCAGGTAAGAGCTTTAGCCTGTTGAACCATCCCTTACCTGCCTGTATGTGAAAGGACTTGACACAAAACCACTTGCTCCCACGGTGATCTGGTCTCCACGCTGTCCCTGCCCCAGCTTCTATAAGTAGAAGACTGTCTGTCTGTCTTGAGACTTAAACATATCAATCTTTTTATATCCGAGGTCCCTCTGAGCCACACTCTCAGGGACGTCGCGGTGCAGGAACGCCAGTCCTGCAGCTCCGGAAGACCCATGCTTCCCAGGCAGTGGTCATGCCCACCTATGACATCACCCCTTCTCCTGTACATGGAGATGCTTCCCCAAGATCTGAGTGCCCATCCTGGATCTTTGGGGTGTTAGTTTGTGACTGTGCAAGGTAAGTAACACCCCACTTCCCATCCACAAAGATGGCACTAATGATAGATCATTGCAGAGTGACCAAATGAGCCACCCTGTGGCAAGGCCCTCTCTCAGACCTTGGTATACCATAGGCACTCAACTGTTCCACCCTACCATCCTGGGCTAATCCCTTGACTCCTTTTCCAGCCTCACAGAGAAATGACCTTACAGTGGTTTGACTGTAAGGTAACCATGGCAACCAGCATTCACATATCAATGGTCAATGAAAACACTGTGTATTACTAAAGAACTAGCACATACCAATGGCCAGGGGCTGGGTGTGAGGTGAGGCAGTGCCTCCCTAAGTGCCTCCCTTCTTTTTACAGTCAATCAAAACTAGGTTGCATCACCCCACTCCAAGCTGTCCTGGACTTGGCTCCTCTCTCAGGCTCTCTGCTCACTGTACCCCAGCCTGTCTCTCTCTCTCACTATGTGATTCCCTACCTCACAGACATGGGTCAAAATGCATTTGACTCTGGCCTTTTAGATTTCAGCAGTGCAGACCTCCTCAGTGTCTGGAAGGCAATGCAGCCAGCCAGGAGTGAGTGTCAGATTCTTGCTTCTCCAAGCATGGGCCGTGGATCTGAAGCAGGCCCCCACTGAGAGCCAGCAGGCCAGCGTCTCAGCAGGCTCCATCACTGCTGATCAAAAGCTGAGCTAGATAGAAGTTGATCTTCAGGGAATTGGTGCCCACCTCACACACACACACACCCCCGCCCAGCATGAAGTTGGACCTCAAAAGAACAAGGGCCTTCCTCACTGAACTGGGAAGGGAGCGTCCAAGAGTGCTTACATCAGCAGAGGTGGTGGCGAACTCCTCTAGTCCCAGCACTTGGAAGGCAGAGGCAGGCGGGTCTCTGAGTTTAAGGCCAGCCTGGTTTACAGAGCAAGTTCCAAGACAGCCAAGGTTACACAGAGAAACTCTGTCTTGAAACAAACAAGCGAAACAAAAGTGCTCACACCAAGGAATCCAGTCATAGATGGCACTGTTCCTGGGAGAGACGTTGTGTCCTGTCGCCATACTCTCCATGTTCTGGGTCAGGGAGAAAAGTCATCTGCCCATGTTGCCATGCCTACTGATGACTTCCATAGGACTGAATTAATGTTGACAAGACTAGGCTATAACCCCTGGCGTTCCAGATCACAATACAATGTGAATTTTAATATTACCTGTGGGAAAGCATAGAATTATTAATGAATCAAAATCTGTAAAACAAGAGCAGGATGTCAAAGGCATAAAGAGGTCACAGGAGAAGTAAGAGATTGGCTACCCAAACAGTAC